TGCTGCCGCCGCCGCTGCCGCCGCCGCCGCTGCTGCTCCTGCTGGGGCCGCCGCAGCCGTTGCCGCCGCCGCCGCCGCCGCCGCTTCTGGGCGGGGAACGGAGGCCAAAGAGAGTCCCGTGCCGGGGCAGAGGGCGCAGGCGGCGCGCGGTGGGGAGGGGGCCGTCCTGGGGGCGGGGGCAGGCGGGGGGTGGAGCCCCCGACGGGGGGCGGTACGAGCCGGGACGACGACGACGAGGAGCCCCGGGGGCCGGGTGCATGGAGGACGAGGTGCTGGGAGAAGGAAGGGGGGTGTGGGTCCCGCGACGGGCCTCGTGGGCTTGGCTCCTCGAGGTTCGGCTTCGGGACAGAGCCCTGCAGGGGAGCTAAGAGGCCGGGGAAGGGATAGGGAGGTGAACTGGACGGTGGAGGGGGCCCTCTTCGCCGGGGTCCCGCCGAGAGGAAGGCTGGGCCAGAGGGACGTCCGGGGCAAGGCTGGGAGGAGCCGGCCGCACCTCGGCTGGGGATTTCGCGTTATGGAGGTGCGGGAGCCCGTTGTAGGGAAAGACGTGGTCTAGGGGAAAGGTGGGAGGGAAACACTGCAAACCCGGGAGGCCAACAGCACAGGCCCGTGGGGGTGCCCTTCTATTCTGCTTGCACCTTCTCCCTCCCTGAGTGGAAGCACTAGCACTATGTTTTTGTTTTATTGTTTTGAAATTTTCAGTGTTGGCTGATGGAAACTGTCGATGGGGTGATCATCATTCTTGGTGTCTGCTGAGTAGATGGTAAGGACAGGCATCCTTTGGCAAGCAAGCACCTAGCCTAGAGTTTAGAGGCTCTTTACACGAGTGTGGGAAGGGGGCCCGGTAACTTTGTGCCATAGCTTGGCTACTCTTAAGGCAGTTTGGAGGTCATCCCTCTGGTACAGAGGTGGAGTACAATTGCAAAAATCTTCAGTGAGACTTCTGGAAATGAGTTGTAGGTTAGCGTTACAGTGGGTTAGCCCTGTGCTTCTTTGAACTTAGAAGGCTCTTCATCAAAAGCACGCCGTTGAGTTACATGGGAAAATAAATGTGGATGCATTTGGGGTTGGGTGTGGATTAGGTTGATAGTAAAATTTCAAGGTTGGAAGGGACTTTAAAGGTCATCTACTTTACTGTTAATATGTCTTGTTCTTGAACGTTGGAATTGAGGAAGCTTTATTATGGGGGAGATGGTAGTTGGCACAGTGGAGGATGTTTGTTGCAGAGTTTAGGGTACTTTAATTGGATGGTGATTTCACCAGTGGTACTAAAGATGACAGTATGTAGGAAAGAAATTTGGGGGATTCCATTGGGGATTAAATGGGATAACCTAATTTTAAGAATCATCCCGGGGCTCCAAATAGAAGCAAAAGGCTGGGGAAGAGCCTGTACAATTTCAAGGGTGGTGAAAAGTTAGTAGTAAAGACTGAGGGAGCTGGGAGGAGCAAGGGGCTTGGTAAGTCAAGAGAATCTGAAGGTTGATAGTGGAGTTTAGGGACGTGGCCATCTTGACTAAGTCATGAGGATGTTGTTAGGCGGACATCTTTTGACAGGGCAACTTAGGCAATTGCCCTTGGGGCAGATGTGAGGGATGAAAGGCACAGGCCTTGGGGCACAGACCCTGACTAAATTGACCGTAAGAGGGCTGATCTTGATACCAGCTTTGCAGCAAGGGCAGGTTTCTTTTCTTTTCTTTCTTTCTTTTTTTTTTTTTT